CCCTCGGGAATTACAACATCCCTCTACGCCCTCCCTTCTCAGGTTAAGAGCAGCCGCTGCAGAACCTTGCAGGGCAGCACTGACAGGACTGGACAAAAGGATCAGAGCTAAACTAAGCCTTCTGAAGACACGAGCTTGTCACTCTGTCACTTTACACATGAAGATATATAGAGAGAGAGGTGGGGTGATATTGCTCAAAGTTACAGAGCTAATAAGGGGCAAAGTCTGTAACTCTGCTCTTCCCTTCGGCGTGACGCCCCAGCTGGGACGCCCACAGGGTTCTCTCGTGGCTGCCTGAACAGTCCTTTCCTGTTACTATTAACTCATGACAGAGTCTGACCCTAGCCTGCCTTTTCAGCATCTTTTCCCTCCAGTTTCTCAGGAACAAGGTGGTTTGGGCCACTGTATGACTTCCGGCTCCCGGAAACCTCAGTGCTCAGGCTGGTCTTGCCTGTGCATCCGGCCCCCTGCTCAGAGGCTCTTCCTCCCCTGTAAGAGGACATTTCCACTCTCCGCAGGGACACCCCCTAAGAGGAGCCCTTTTCTCGACCTCAGGATGGCAGGTGTCCCAAGCCACATCCCGAGCTGCCCCATTAGGCCTGCGGGTGCCCAGGTCTGCTAGTCCGAACAGCAGCCTCAGAGCCAGAGATTATGCCCAGGCCACCCTGCAATCCTACTGCCCGAATCAAAGCCCCCAGCCAGCAAGTCACCTGAAAGTCACAGCAAGTGCCACACCCAATCCAGAAGCCTCTTCATTTGCCAGCACCGCTGATGACTGGTTTCTAAGCTTTGGTCAGTTTTGCATAAAACAGCACCTTCATCTGTGAAGCAGGGGGTTTTGCTTCTGCTCCCCATCCTTACAGGTAATGTCAAGGGAAACGAAGAGGCCTTTTCTCAACCCTTTTATGATGACACCCTCCCACCCACAATACTCATATGCTCAAGAGCTTTGGATCCACGTGATTTTGTTTCCCTTACGCTAAGTGGCTCAAAACACTGCGGGATTCCTTCCTTTTTGAGGGTATTTGTACTCAGTTTCTTGGCTTTAATCTGTTTTTGTCTCTCTCTTCAATATCCCTAGCAGTTGCTACCTCTTACTCCATTCAGCAGCCTCCCTCCCAACATCTAGTCTAGGAAATCAGCTGTGATGAAGGACCCGGGGGCAGTCACAGAAGATGCAACTAAGGCACAGAGAGGCTACATAATTTGCCCAAGTAGATCAGCTTCAACCCCCAACAGTGTGTGTCAAGGCCCTCTGTTTAACTTATGCTAAGCAAGCTAACTTTTTGTATATTATGGTTATAAACAGATGAGGTAGAAAAATACGTGCAAGGACACACATATACTCTAAGATGTTCACTAACTCCAGTATTTTGTTTCTATTTATTTCTATTAAAAAATATTAAGAACCTCTGCAGTCAGTACAGCAAAATGTTACTGGGTTTTAAATCCAGAATATAGAGGTGTTAAGTGTGTCATTACTCATACTTATTTGTATGTTCACAAGACAAAATGATTTGAAAGTCCCTCTCCCCTCCCCATACTCACTACTGGCTCTCACCTGAGCTCCCAGACCACATATCGAACAGCCTTTCTCTTTACCCACAGCTGAAGTCATCAGTTTTCCCCCAGAAATCCCTCTGCAGCTTTCCCTTCTCAAAGCACAGCAGAACCATCATTTACCTCATTAATCCACACAGAAACCTGGGCCTTACTACATCCTACATTCACAGACAGCATTCATCCTTTCTTTTTACCATCTAAACATGCCTTCAATCTGTTCGCTTTTACCCACTGACCGCCCCACCGCTCAAGTGAAGCCACCAACACTGCCCACCTGGACTCACGAGTCTCCCAAGTGGCCCCACAGCCGCTCTCCCCTACTTGAGACAAATGGGATTGTGTCACTCCCGCGCTTTTTGGACTCTTTTCAGACTCACTCTTCCTAGAAGAAACTCCAAGTTCTTTACCTGGTGAAAGTCTTTGCCATGAAAGTGTCAGCTCA